ATGTACCGAGGGAAATACGAATGGGCAAACGTACGGAATAAAGTGCACGGGGATTGCTCGTTGTTGGTGCGCGCGGCTTCGCTCCAGATCGATGACGGGCAGTGGCAGTGCCAGGTCACTTCTAGCAGCTATGATGTACAGGTAAATTTGTTACTTATAATTCGAGCCCGGTAGAGCCGTATAAGCTCAGTCTTTTAGGTTTGGCCTTAAATTTACAGAACACGTCAAATTGTCCTCGGAGCTGGTATTCTATAAAATTATTTGCATTACAATTTTTTTAACCATTACAAAGTGGCAACGATTAATAATAACTTACTGTTAAGTATGTACAAGGGCTTAGTTAATGGCTATCATTAAGCGAGGGTACGCACACAGCGTTATTGGCACTGAATGACGGGAGGTAGGGCTAAATGGCATTTTAGGTTTGAGATTTAGATTTTTATAAAAAATACTACTTTTTATAAATAAGACTCTACGGCGGCTGACCGCTAAGACTTAGCGGTCAGCCGCCGTAGAGTCTATATTACCTGAGGATGCCTCGTGTAGAGGCGACACACGTGTCGTATTATCGTCGATGGTGTGTCTTGCCTGGAATAGTGGTGTTGAGAGTAGTGGTGCTTGGTCTAGTGGTGACGGAGTTAGTGTATGCAATTGAGGGAGGGCGGGAGGTGCGCTTCAATCCAGGTAAGACACATCATTTTATATGTTTAGCGGAAAGTTGCAAAGAAATTTTTATTTTTATTTTTTATTATAATGGATTTCCGCAAAGTAACGCCTGATTCTATCAATTAATTTAGATTTTTATTAATATAAAAATACGAGTACATGCAAATTATGGAAATTTTGCTTTATTTTTTAGAAAAAACTTTCTATGTAATACTTTCGGTGGAAGACAAAAAGTGGTATTTCAAGATTTTATATTTATAATTGATATAAAATGAACCAACCGATTCGACAAAAAAATTAAACTTGGTTCTAGGATGCCCTTTCAAGCCCTCCGGCAAAACTCGCCGTTCGAACACGACCACAATCACCAAAAATCCTTTTCAATGGCTTGCGTGTATTCTCCGAGCAGAAAATCACAGTGCCAGCTGGGTCTAAATTAACTGTTATTTGTGAAGCTAGATATGGAAACCCACCCGCATACATCGAGTGGTATTTGGGTAGGTATTAAAACATTATTTATTACCTTGTATATTTGTAGCTATTTCACTGTATATAAAAGGCATGGAATAGAACTAATTTTAGGGATTTGATGGTGTATTATTTTAACTTATTTTTAATTCCGGACGTTTCGAATAAAAATAATGTGTAATAGGGTATTACAGCCATTTTCAAAAAGTGCTTCAAATTAATCCCAGAGTGATAATGAACCACTATATATATATATATATATATATATATATATATATATATATATATATATATATATATATATATATATTTAAAACCGAATAGTGCCATAAAATTACTTTTAATCTACCGTTTCAAATTTTCGCGTGAAAACGCTAGCCGCCATGCTGTTCTACTCGTGATGTCACTGTCCTAGAATTTTGCCGATTTTTCAAAGGAGTAAGATACTTTTTAATGTTTAATAATGAGTTATCATCTATATCATTGTTGTGTTGTGCCTGAATGCAAAAATACGAGCGTAAGAACGCCGGGAAACCTATGGATTCAAGTGCCAACTGATTAAAATATAAGAAATACATGGTTAAAACTGGCAAGAAGATACCCGAATACATTGTCTACGAATACTATTCTTCTGTGAAAATCATTTTGATGTAAGTGTGACTTATATTAAACAATCGTTTATACAAAACAAAACATCATGAGGTGAAGAGTATCACAAGTCAAATTATATAATAAGTTACGTTAACTTAGATATTATAAATAATGATTGATTATTATTGTAATTATAGATAAACTAAACTATGATAGCTACTAAACTATGTTTTATCAAAATGCTCTCTGATCTGATATTGTGTTTTTGTATAAACAAAAGTTGGTAATAGGTACTTTCATTGATGTTTTAGTATTCCTCAACTCAGCAGAACAAAAATTGGGATTGCAGTTCCAATAGTTCTGCTTTTATGAATTCGTCTTCCATGATACCTTTTCAATAAAATTCGGAATGAAACTTAATAATCATAACGATAACTTGGAAAAATTCGAAGTAACGCAGCACATTAGCTAGTTCTCTTAATTAGTGACGCAGAACACTAATACCCTTAGGCGGGATTAGTGACGTCACGAAAGTTATAATATGGCCGACAGCGTTTTGATAATTTGAGACACAGACGAAAAAATATTCTTAAAATTGAAATATAAAATTTATAATGCAATTTTATAAATAGTAATCAATATTTCTCGTTTAATTTTTTACAAAATCTATCATAAATATATATTTTTTGATCTTTTACATGGTGTAAAATACCCTATTAAATGGGATAAAACCCGTAAAATATAACTAGGAGGTAAGGCTGCCTAGGAGTCCGTCTGAGCACTTCGCCTATTCGTACCGCCAAATATTACATACGAGTAGTACTTGCGCTGTTGTGTTCTGGTCTGAATGGTATAGAAAGTCGGTATAATTACATTCTGTGAGGCATTCTATCTTAGTCCTAAGAGGTGAAAATCATCTAAGTTTTCTTTGTTTGAAATTGACCGCAGGTGTCCACAGACTACCCTAGCCACATACCATCAAGTGGACTGTTAGTTCGTTTTTTTAATTATATAATACATACCTAAGTTTTATTACTACTTAAAACGAGAATTTTTATTGTTGCGCGCCACAATTAATGTCTCGTACAGGGTGACACTAGTTACTACTAGCGCCTTCTAGTATCGAGTAGCAGAACTAGGAGAGTCAAGATCTTTCTAGACATTTCCCCAAGCTCGTAACATAATCTTAGTCGTCAGTGATAACAACACATCTAGATTATTCGTTCACGGTGGCCAACTCAACGGAGACTTGTCTGGACAGTACAGGATTATAGTTTCCAACTGTATGCCCAAGCACACGTCTTAACTATTCCTTCACTCTCATAGTTCGATGTAATCCGACATGACCATGGAGAGATCAAGCGCAGGTCCAACAGAATTACTTGCTTTTCGAGGCACGGGGGTGAAACACTGCCAACTTTCTGACTCTGGGTTGCTACTGAGAATTTCTTGATAGAAAAACCCAATAGCTGATTTTAGCCCGACTCGGGATTCGAACCGGGGACTTCATGATTAGGAATTGCATTTACAGCTGCTAGACCAACGAGACAGTCAGGATAAATATAGGTGTATTAGGGCCACAGTAACCACTTATCATTAGGTAAACTATATTTACGTTTGTTACTTGTATTTGTTCAAAAACACCCTATTTAAAAAAAAAAAAACAGTGTAATAATTTCTTGAATTTACGCGAACACTACACATTGAATGAAACTATTATTTACGGATTTTATCGCGTTTAACTACTACTTTAACTTATTTTTATTATCCCGACGTTTCGGGTTAATTTTTGATCCGATTTGATATGAGCTTTCAGTATCATGAAGTCTTGGCCAAGCATACCACTGCAAGACTTCATGATACTATAAGCTCGTTTTGCGTAAATTGGACCAAAAGTTAATATTCAAAAACTGAAGGTAGCCGGAGTAACTATGACATTGGGACGTCAAACATCTCACTCTCCCGGTGACCGTGGGTGCTGTAAAGCACCCGAAACGTCGGGATAACAAAAATAAGTTAAAGTAGTAATTAAACGCGATAAAATCCGTAAATAATAGCTTTATTCACAACATAGTGTAGCTCAAATTTAACGATGAAAGTACAATATTTCTAATTATTGATAGAATTGTTTCCAGGTAAAAACCGCCTTATAGCGTTGCGTCAAACAAACGTATCGGAAATAGAAAGACCACGTGTTTGGGCGGCTCGCTCCGTGCTAGACATGGAAGTAAGCAGATCAGCGCTTGGGAAAAAACTGACGTGTATAGCGCATCATCTCTCTTATCCAGCGCCGCACTATCGAGTGGCTTATACAAAGTTAGATGTTTCATGTAAGTAAAAGAATCGTATATTAATGTGAACTTTTAGCCGAATATGTATTAATCGAAATTCACTTAATAAATAATAAAATATATAAAGTAAAGGCACTTAGTTCCGCGGTACTTTTACTAAAACACCAAAGAAGATCGAAAATTAAGCATACTCTTTTAAAGGTTTGGCTATTTTTTCAAAACCATAATTTCTACTCTTAAAGTAGAAAATATGTTTAGCTATTAATAAAATATAGAATAAAAATCTTAATTTTTATTCTAAATTAATTAAATATGCAAAGAAATATACTTATTCCGATGTAAAAATCCTCATTCGGATGTATTTGTTTTTTTTTATAGAAGAGGGGGCAAACGAGCATGCGGCTCACCTGATGTTAAGTGACTACCGCCGCCCATGATCAACCACAACACCAGGGGAATTGCAGGTGCGTTGCTGGCCCTTTAGAAAAGAGTAAGCTCTTTTCTTGAAGATTTCTAAGTCGTATCGGTTGGTTCCAAATACCGAGTGTACAAAATGCAATAAACTGTAGGAAGAATAATACATGGTGCTCATCATCCTATAACTAAAATTTATTATACATGTTAATTAAATTTTTTAAAATGCAATTAATTAACAAGGTGTTTTTGACCAATTTTGATTTTCATTCACAAAACCGACACAGAAAATTTTCAAGAAGTATCAATTTAAAGATATGAAATAAAATCCTATTATTACCTAATATACCTGGCTAATCAATTTTATTTATTTTATTAATACTTGTTGTATTGTTGCGATAGTCGTACAAACAATGTGTGGCCCTCTCTAAAGCAAGATATTGTGTAAAATTTTATCTAATAATTTTTTTTTTATAGGATAGGGTGACAAACGAGCACACAGTCCACCTGATGGTAAGTGGTTGCTGTGGCCCATAGACATCTACATCTATCCTCGATTACGAATCAAAATGCAGATGCGTTGTCACCCCTGAGGACTAAGATGGAATGCCTCGTTTCCAGTAAAATGGGTCTCCGGTTCTCTACAATCACCATACGAAATACAGCAGCATTAAGCTACTATTTCACGCTGGTATTCTGTGAGAGCGTGGTCCTTCCCCGGTCGAGCCGACCCATTCGTGCTACAACTATACTACTAATATAACTGCAGCATGGCTCTACCACGTATAATACATAAAAGTAAAAAATTTAAAGAAATTAAGAATCGTTTATGTATTTATTTCACTATATTTGTATATTTATCATTTCCATTTATGAATTTATACAGCCCAACCAGATGAGAAAACTATTTAAATACCCCTATAATAATAATAATATTGGTTGGGCTCTCATTTATTTATGTGTTATTTATTGTATATAAACATTTATTATTTCCTTTTATACATTTATTCAGCTCAACCAGTTCAGAATACCATATAAATACCTTAAAACTAATAATACGCGACAACATGCGGGCCACACACCGACACAGACAACCACCTAGCAACCCTTCGCATTCATCATCCCCACCTCATGGTTTGGTATCGGCAATGTCCTCTCAGAATCGGCCAGCGGCACCCACCACTGGTGGTGTACGCCGCATGCGTTGGACAATGGCTATGGGCCTCATCGGCAGACTGATAAGCTTCAGGTTGAGCAATAACCGGTTAAATTGTGCGCACACCGTAAGAATAGCGTTTGCTGGGATAAATGTCAGTTTTTCCCAGCCGGATATAACGCAAAAACTGACGGAGCACATAGACGATCTGTTCATGATACCGAGAGGTCGATGCGGTTCGGCCAGAATCGTCTCTTTCAATGTGATCAGAAGAGGCTATAAATCATTGGAGCGACCAATGGTACGTGAAACGGACCTAGCACCGAATCAGGCCGACACTTTCACATTCTGGCGCAGCCTGTAGTGAGAGTCCACAAACCACAGCGAGGGCCCTTTAAAAGAAATTGTGGCGAGTCAGTGTGCGAATGTTACGCCCATTAATCTCGTTATCATAACGCCGGTAAACGTAGCTGAGGCGATCCGTTGGGCACCGAGCTTGAAAAGTCCGGGACTCAACGGGTTATGTTATCTATTCAATAAGAGATATTACAGTAAAAAAAGAGCTTGTAAATCACTTGTAAACGAAGTTTTTCTAAATACCTCGAAATATGGTGCCAATTTTAGTAACCCTCGGAATTAGGTGTCTTTACCTTAGCGATCCGTAGATAAAACTTATGCCCTTTTTTCGAATCGGTTAAAAAGCTAAAGCTAAAAAGCTAAAAGTATAATGAGTGCAGGATACCGGAGAAAAGATTTTTGCAGGTAATTATGCATTCCATCTTAGTCCTCGGGGTGACGATCACCTGCATTTTAATGCTTAATTGATGATAAATATAGGTTTTTGTTGGCCACAACATCCACTTACCATCTGGTGGAATGTGTGCTTCTTAGACAAAGAATGTGCTCGTCTCCCACAACTAAATAGATTATTAAAAAATCTTTGATTACGTAATTCGGCACTTTCATTAATTGCAGTCGTTCCAGTAGTTTCCATTCTCGGAGCGGACGCTAACATTCTCTCCAGTCTAGAAGAAGGTGTGAGCACTTTGTCGTTGGACTGCAAAGCGGTAGGGAACCCGAAACCTTTTGTATGGTGGACGAATAATGGAAAATCCGTTGGTGCAAAGGGTTCAAAGCTAATATTGGCACCAGTAACAAGAAACCATTCAGGTGGGTATTAAATAGAAGAATCCAAGAGACAGCAGCTGTAGCCCTCTGCTCACGTGTAATGTTAATTTATATTGATTTTTACATTTAAATTAAATTATGAAACAAATAGGTTGTAGAGTGGTAAGTAATATTTAACAACGTATGTCATTTTCTGTGACCTCCCCACTGGATACTGTGCATTTATGGGAGGAGGAAGGGAGGACAGCCACTATACTATCATCATAATAATAGTCGTTTTGATCCACTGTCGGGCAAAGCTCTTTCTTAAATGCATCAGTTGACTTGTATTGCTCGGAAGAAGCAAAGACGATCATTACTTATAAAGTCAAGATTATAATATCTCAATAGTCAATTCACAATTGATTAACAAGGATATTTATTTTAATAATATCATAATAATGGTAAGAAATTAATTTTATAAATTTGGCAATATAGAACCTAATCTTCCTGTACCAGACATGAGTACAAGCCTCATGATAGCTCACTTTTATGTTGATTTATTAATATACATATACTATAACGAGATTCTTTGTAGTAATTTGGATAAATCCAAGCTTATTAAAAAGCATTTCTATAAAGAAAGGATATTTTATGTTCGATTTTAAAGACAATAATGTGTGGATATAACGACATTTCTTGTTTTTTAATTAGGTGTATATAATTATGTGTTAATCTGTAAGTATCGGTAGAGTAATCGTCTACTTGTTGAGTTCTTTTAGGTCTTGTTAAAGTGATGGTGTAGCTTTCCTTACTGTAAGACCTTACTAAATAACAGCGTAAAATAGCGGCGTAATGCTGCTATGTTTCGTATGGTGAGTGTAGAGAACCGGAGACCCTTTTTACTGGTAACGAGGCATTCCATCTTAGTCCTCAGGGCTGGCATGGCGTCTGCATTTCAATTTTTTCAATTTAGGGCACAAGACAGTCATTGTTTTGGAACCTGTGCAATTTTCTTGACTTTTTTTATAGAATAAGAGTGACAAATTGCACATTTGTCATTGCACGCAGTCCGACCGAGGAGGGACCACGCTCGCTCCCACAAAAAACAAGCGCAAAATAATAGCATAATGCTGCTGTCTCACATCTGCATTTTGATTCTTAATCGAGCAAAGATGTAAATGTAGATGCCGTTTCAATCATCATCATCATCATCATCATTACAGCCCTTCACAAGTCCACTGCTGAACATAGGCGTCTCCCAAGGTATACCACAAAGCACGCTCCTGAGCCACTTGCACTTCCTGCATGTCTTACCAGGTTGTCACTCCATCTAGTGGGCGGTCGCCCTAAACTTCGCCAACCGGTACGAGGCTGCCACTCGAGAACCTTTATGCCGGTAAAACTGCGGTTGCCAACCCGCTCGCCGAGCGTGGTAACTATGGCAAATATCCCCCCATGAGCAACGATGCCGTTTCAAGTTTATACATTAACGACCAGTATAATGTATCAAAATTCTTATTTTAATACAGTAGACGCTCGATAATCCGGCACCCGACTTTTTCCCTTTATGCCGGATTGTCGGAGCTGCCGGATTATCGAATTTGTATAGGAAGTAAAATAGGTCCACAGTAAAATACTGTTTTAATATGGTTAGGTGAATTTATTATAAAAATCAAATTACGTACTTAATATAACATAACATTAAGTACGAACTGCCGAGCGAGAGAAGACAGAAACTACTCGAACAATTCGACCCAACCGCTCAGTAGTCCGGCGTTCAGCTGCGGCATTTTACACAGCCTGTGTAAAATGCCGGATTATAGAGCTGGCTACTTGAGTCCCAAAGTGCCGGACTGCTGAGCGTGCCGGATTGGCGAGCGCCGGATTATCGAGCACCTACTGTATATTAAATTGCATTGATAATTGCTTAACTTATTTTTTAATAATGTTATGTTCATTCAGAATATAATTTGTAGGTGTTTACGGATGTCAAGCAAAAAACCATCTGGGAATCTCAGATTCACACAAAATTAAGATAGACGTTAAATGTAAGTATTTTTAAATTTTTAATAAATAACATTTTTAGTAAACAACATCGAGCGCGTATGGACGATTTTGCAGTATTTTTTAACTTAATTGAACCTCTGTAAATCTAGTTAAACGTAATTATGGAACAAATAAAGACAGAAACGCGACTCATAATAATTGGTTCGAATAAAGCTTACTAATTAAACATTAATTTATGTCACAGATATCAAATAAAAAGGCTAATTATTTTTCGGTTCATATTGAGGACACCGTTAACCGTGTAGTGGCGGTGTAAGAATAATATCCACTATCCCATATCACCACGTGGTTATCGTAAGAGGCGACTAAGGGAACCTTAAACAGGAGATAGGTAGCAGAAACTTCTCGATAATAACCCAAAATTATAAAAAAACTGCGGTTACCAATCTGTAAAGCGTGGCAAGTATGGCCACATCCACCTTATGAGTTAATCTATGGAAGAGGCCTTTGTTAAGCAGTGGAATTTTATAGGCAATTTTTTTTAAATAAAATTATTAGCTAAATCGAACTGTTCGAGCGTTCCCAGCCACCCTTTGCCTGATAAGACGTGTAGACGTAAGATTAGAAATTTAGAATACGTACAAATTTTTTCTAAAATTCTCTTCACTTTAATACTACTTTACGCGACGTTTAGAGAGCGAGGTAACGATTTAATATAAAGGTAAAAAGTGAATAAATCGTAACCTTTTCACTATGTTTAACTGATGGGCTATTTGCTAATTGGGTTCGGATAGAAAAGGGCAAACCTCCTTCTGAACAAGGTTCTCATCCAGGGAGCGATCAATGCTTCATATTGTAGTACAGAACTACTAATTATTAAATTATAGTTTTTCAGAAACTTAGATATCGTGATTTAGCCTTGTTGTAGTTCGGCTTAAGGCCGTCATTATAACATTTTGGTGGCGCTGCCAAAGACACACATTGGCTGTGTAGTGGCGATTTAATAGTATCCAGAGCTCTATATAATCCCGTGGGTGTCATAAAGGCGAAATGGGGAAATAGGAGATGAGTGGTAGCATCTTCCTGATAGATGTCCCCCTATGAGTCAGTCTATGGGGAAAGGTTATGTTCAGCAGTGGACTATTCATGGGCTGTATTGATGATAGCGATGGGAAAAATTATTATTACTGCAAAGGCTTACTAATCCGCGTACTCAACCTAGTGAGTTTAGGCAAATAATTCAACAGTCATGGTGACAGGACAATGGTCGAATTCAAGATTGTTTCGGTGCTAATAATGTCCTGCAGACCGATACCGGCATACGGTAGCCGTTCTCAACGGAAACTGGCTATCTGCGCAGGGTAGGATTATAGTGCACGAGTTCGTAAACAAACACAGCTGCACCCGCTATTATATCACTCTAATAGTCCGATGGGATGGGAATTCGGCACGACCGGAGAGAGATCAGGCATAAAACCAACGGCTTAACTCGCTTTCCAAGGCACAGCTGTAAAACACCGCCAACTTCCTGACATAGAATATCATGTTAGAAAAAACCCCATGACAAATTTTTGTCCCGTCCCGGGATTCGAACCCTAGGTCACATGATCAACAGTCGCACTCACGAACTCTAGACCTACGAGGTAGTGAACCACAGCATAATTCTGTTGTGTTTCATATGCTTAATGACAAGAACCAGAGATAGTTTTTACTGTCAAAATTCATTTTATAACTAAGGGGTAGCCAAAAAAGTTAAAACCAATGCTGAGCACAGGCCTCCTCACATTTCTGAGAAGGTTTTAGGGCAAGTAAATGTCTGCCGCGCTGCTCCCATACGTGTTGGCCAACTTCATATGTCTTCGAGATATTTTTTCCTTATTTCTCAGACATTCAGGTTTCCTCACGATGTTTTCTTTCACCACTGAGCACGTTGTACATCAGCACTTAAAATTGCAATTAACAATTTCATTGTTGCCATCGGGAATCGAACCCGGATTGTTCGGGCACTATGAAATTTATAGAGAGCGCTAAGCCCCTGAGCTACCACAGCTCTTTCAGGGGTAGCAACGCTACTATACATATTGATTCTAAATTATTAAAACAACCATTTACCATCAGATAATTACTGTGTCCTCGAATGAACAATCGGGCCCTTATTTCTTTCGAAATTTCTTTACCTTTTTCAGTTGGACCTCGTATTACGTGGGTAGGTCCAGATACTGTCGTCGAAGCGAATCTCTTCTCGCAAGTGACTCTGGAATGTAAAGCTGAAGGAAATCCACCTCCGTCTTATCATTGGTATCATATGTAAGCTGTTTAATTAAACATTTTATTTATTACATGTTATGTTACGTATTTCAAGATACAGTAAGCTCATTCTGCGTAGATCGCACCATAGTTAATAGCTGAAGGTAGCCCGGATATACATGATGATAGTCATGAAAGCGACATATAATTGTGAGTACACGCCATATAATTTTAACCCCCGTGTGAAGGTTAAAATTAAATGCAATAAAACTTTCCTTGACCGTGTAGTGGCGCTGTAGAGTATCTACTACCCCATATCATCCCGTGGGTGTCGTGGGTGACAGAGGGAAACAATCAGGAGACAGGAAGCAGCGTCTTACTAATAACGACTTAAAAAAACTGCGGTTGCTAAAACACTTGCCAAGCCTGGTCACTATGGCAAATATCCCCCCCCCCTATTAAGTCTATGGGGGAGGTCTATGTTCAGCAGTGTACTTTAATATGATGTAACGGTAACGGTAATGGAAGAAGAAAAATAAAAAAGTGCTAATTATGTTTTAAGTTCCGGCTGTTTCTCTATAAATTCAAACTTCAATAACACCGTCACAGCCAATTTACCCGTCCACTGCTGGAGAAGTCTCCTTACATTTCTGATTGTAATGTAATAGTTAGACCACTTGCATTCCATATTAGTTCTCAGGGGTGACAACGCATCTGCATTTGATTCTTAATCGAGGATGAATGTAGGTGTCTACGGACCACAGCATCCCATTACTCTATAAAAAGATGCGAGACGTCTGGTAGTGCGTTCGTTTTGACTATGTGCTCGTTTGTCACCCTTATTCTATAAAATAAAAATAAAAAAACTTGGACTTCATTTGTCTTTAAAATAATTTATTTTTAAGCATGTAGTTCCTTACGTTATTGTTCTTTACTGTCCAGCCCGTAGTAGATCCATTTATATTAAAGATCTATATATTTACTCCCTCCGTTTGTTTTTAGTTCTGGAATAGCAACCACTACCCAAGACATTTTATCTAATGGCCATTCTATATCGTCAACTTCTCAACTACAGCTGTTCAATATTTCCTACACACAGCGAGGTCGATATACTTGTGCTGTTGAAAACTGTATCGGACTTGAGAAAAGGTGAGTATAATTGTTAAATAAGTAATGTTTTGCGTTATGAAACATGTCTAGTGATATCCATAAACAGAAGTTACAGCTACACTGCTGGGCATAGGCCTCCTTTCATTTCTGAGGGAGTTTAGGGCAAGTAAATGTAAATTACGTGTTGGCGAACTTCACATGTCCTTGAAATATATTTTTTCTTACTTCTCAGTCATACAGGTTTCTTCACGATGTTTTCCTTTACCTCAGAGTGAGTGGTAAATCAGTATTTCAAATTGCATTGGACAATTTCATTGGTGCCGGCGGGGATCGAACCCGGGTGCTCACGTACCGTGAAATTTGCAGCGAGCGCTTAGCACCTTAGATACCATGGCTCTACAAATAACGTTAATAATATTATTTACATTCCCGTAAGCTACTTAAAGTAAAATCAAAATGCTTAAGTCTGGAATATGTTACGATTATAATCAAATGGAAACTGAAACAAATAAAAACTACTGCTCTTCGCTGAGATCTAAGACTAAAACAAACATAAAACTCAGGGATAAGCCGACACACCTCTTTCGCTTCTGTTATATCCATATATTATGTACCGTAAGAACCGTAGAACTAAGATGGAATGCCTCGTTTCCAGTAAAAAGGGTCTCCGGTTCTCTACACTCACCATACGTAACACAGCAGCATTAAGCTACTATTTTACGCTGGTATTCTATGAGAGCGTGAGATCCTTCCCCGACTCATTCGTGCTACAACTTACTACAAATACAACTGCAGCATGGCTCTAACACATCAATCATGATAACATTCCTTTCTTATTCCTGAACACAACTATCTTGCTAGCTACACATATAAACATACATATATACACATATATATATATATATATATATATATATATATATAGTATAATAATAACATATTAATATGTTTTTCGCCGTCTTTTACTACCATGCTGAGGTAAAAAAAAATATATAGTGAAAGTTGGTTACGGCAAAATCATTACTAGCGGGATTAAAACATAAATTATGCGAAGGCAAATGTTGCATTACCGTCGTTCCAACCATTCAGGAAATCGCCCAAACTATAAAATTCATTTTAAATAATAACACTCCTAAGTGACGATTATTTCTACCACGTTTGCAGTGCTGAACAATATTCAAAGTTTCCTCTCGAGAAGTTAATTTAAAATCGATTGTACCTTAATTTCGTACCGGACAGACAAATAGCGTACAAGAAGCTAAGCTTAGTTTGCTAATAGTCGATTTATTATTAATTTGTCAACAGATCTCACCAATCAGATGCAATCACCCTGAATGTGCTTGGTCCACCCGTGGGCGCCCACTTAGTAAATGCTCATGGCTGGGGCGGGGCCGAAGTTTCATTTCAAGTTACAGTTTGTGCCGACCCAGCACCAACTATGGCGTATTGGTTAAGAGATAAACTAAGATTCGACGTACCTTCAGAACTTGGTATGATATAATGATTTCTTATATTTAAGTGAAGTATTTACATACTAGTAAATTCTAGTAAATTATAGTAAAGATTCTTTCAGAGAAGAGCTTAAAGAAATAAAAATATATTGCCTGGTCTCAAAATATTATAATTATAATAATGTCCCCCAGACCGAATTTTGATCACAGCGACCAGTCCCTACGGAAGCTAGCCATCTGCGCAGAAGAAGATATGCCTATTTAAGTTCTGTCGTTTACATATTTACCGGCAATTTTGAATTTGGAACTGTTCAATATTCAAATTTGTTTAAAGTCAGAATCTCAAAACAATTGAAAGTATGAGGATTAATGCTATTGTTTAGTCACAGAGTCGTTTTGAATTTGTCAGGTCACGTATGAAAATGAATCTTACTAAGGAAAATATCCGTGCAATAATTTTCTACAATTTTCGAAGAGGTCTAACACGGCTTCATTGTTAGGAAGAGCTAATTTCTGTATTCCATGATAAAACCTCATATTTCAGGACTGTTGAACACTGGTATTTAGACTTCCAATGTCAAAATGAATACCAAATTTAGTGACAAATCTCGTGAAGAACGTCCAAAATCCGCCTTCACTGAAGATAACATCGTTGCTGCAAGACAACTAATTCTTGAAGATCGTAATATGGCATATCGAGAGATAGAAGCGTTATTAGGCATCTCAGAGACAACCATGAAGAAGATCTTGCATTAAACGCTGGGTGTGAGATAGCTAATTTGCCGCTGGATCCCGTATTTACTTTCCGACGATCATGTGGCCGTGGAAGGAAAAGGGGAGATCTCCCGCTGGGCAAGGTGTTCTGCCCGGGGAGTGGCCAACGCTCCGTGTGATAGTTCAGAGATGTTCTATATATACTGTTTATGATTCGGAATTTTGATAGCGTGATTTAGGCTTCGATGTGTTTTGCTTGCGGCGCGACGATAGTGTCGCCACATCACCCCCCTGCTCAGATCGGTGGTTGATAGTGCAGCCTCGTTGCCGACGAATGTGCAAGTGCCAGTGGATTTCCTTGTAGTCTGCGGTAAGTCGAGAAGAAGGCAAGTAATCTGCAAGAGTGCCGTGAAGCAGAGGCGAGCAGTAAGACTCAGAGCCGTGCTGAACACTGTAGCTCAGAGTGTAGCCTGAAGGAATAGGAAGCATTCTTATTCCGGTGCTGCGATGAATCTTGTGAAGCTAGCTAACTTGCAGGATATGAAGACTGCAGTTGATATCTGCTCGGGAGAGAATGGGTGGGGTATTCTATGACGATGATGAAGCTTGAAGTTTCCGAAGGTGTGTGACCGAAGAAGGAAAAGGGGAGAACATCTTGCCGCCCGGCAAGATGTTCTGCCCGGGGAGCGGCCAACACGCCGTGTGATAGTTGGAAATGTTCTGTATATACTGTTTATGATTCGGAACTTTGATAGCGTGATTTAGGCTTCGGTGTGTTTCGCTTGCGGCGCGACAACAGCGCCACCACAATCATAAGGGTCCCGCATCAGATGGTGTAAAAAAACTCTACAAAGTTTCAACCGAGGAGAGTTACATCACGTCTACGACATCATCAGTAGTGACGAATCTTGGATCTATGCCGACGATCCCGATTCTCAACAACAATCTACAATCTTGGTCTTCCAAGACGAGCCCAAGCCGACTAAAGTTGTTCGCTCTCGAAGCACTCAAAGAAAATGGTGGCCACGTTCATTTCGAAAATCAGCCATGTTGCGACGATTGTACTTGAAGATCGTAGAACGGTTAATGCAGAGTGGTATACCACTGTTTGCTTACCACAAGTCATCGCCGAACTTCGGAAATCTAAACCAAAGTGACGTATAATCCTACACCATAACAATGCAAGCTCACACAGCGCTAGTCAAACGATTGAGTATTTGAAGCAGGAAAACGTAGAAACTCTTGACCATCCCCCTGTCCTTCATAGAGTCCTGACTTAAGCCCTAACGATTTCTTTACATTTCCTGAAATCAAGAAAAATCTTCGTGGTCAAAGGTTCCAGACCAGTGAAGAAGCAGTCGGAGGACTTTGTAGTAGAATAAATGTTTTATTTACTAACGAGCGAATGAAAAAAGTGTATTAAGCTACGTGGCGAATACTTAAAAAAATAACAAAAAGTACTACATGGTTCTAGTTGTATTTTTTGATCAAGCGACAAAACTTAAAAAGGCATGTTTGGATGCGCAAGCATAGGTGCACTCTCTATTTCTTCACTCCCATAGTCCGGTATAGTAACTCGACACGCCCGGAGATAGATTAGGCTTAGTACCAACGGCTTTACGTGCTTTTTGAGGCAGGGTGATGAAACACCGCTGACTTTTAAACTTCGGGCTGCTATTGAGAATTCATTGTCAGAACCAATAACTGATTTTGGCCCGACCCTGGATTCGAACCCTGGACCTCATGATCAACAATCGCGTTTACGACCACTAGGCCAAGGAGACAGTCCCATAATATAATGTTTGTACGAGTATGTACAAAAACATGTTATTTTTGATAATAAAAGGTTATTCATAATGTATTTAATAGAAACAAACACAAGCTTCTAATACCACTACCAGTTACTGGTCTCCACGGAGTTGGTAATTCATTCTTAGGTCAATGTATAAATTTGCTTTTGTAACAAAAATGAACAATACATTGCTGAATATTTGTCAATTAACAAATTAAAAAAATCCTTTAACAAAAACTGTATAAAAGGGGTAATTGTATAAACGATTACAAGAATTAAAATATCCCCGGGAATAAGACGATCGTCATTGCTACTAGGCAGTTTCTATAATAATTCATTCAAAAATTGTGACTACTGTTTTGTTTGTATATTGTACTAAACAGTTTATATAAAAAATAATTGAAAAATAGCACCACTGGGTTTCTTTCTGGTTCATCCAAGACATATGAATCCTTAAACCAGTGATAAATAACTTTTCAATGATTATGTAACAATCTATGATGATTATTACTCTACTCCATTATATTTCATTGGAAACTATGTAAATTATTTTCCAGATCGGTATAGAGCGTTAGAAAGAGAGGGAGTATACGGTTGTTATCTCTACGCACTTTTTATTAGCAACGTTGGAGTTGATGATGCGGGGAACTACATACTGCATGTAGACAACGATATGGGATATTCTTCGCATACTATCGCATTGACCGTACATGGTATGTCCTTTACTAAACTATTTTATGACATAAGCTCTTTATAATATTTAACTGGGTGCACTTCTCCTGAAGTAGCTTCTTGATCAGTATTCTTGCTTTCCCGTTGGTGGAGGAGGCCCAATTGTAGTTCATTATCGCCGACGCATGATTCCAACCAACTTCAAACAATGAACCTGTGGCCTTGTTTGTTTTATGCGTGTTCACCTTTAAGGACTCATGTAATACCACAGTTTTAAGACCTTACAGTTGTTAAACGCCTTTGATATCTGGCGATGCCGCCGCCCACGTTTGTATTTACGCGGCAGCATGTATACTAGGGATTGTCACGAAAATGGAAATATTATGATTTTGGATATTATAATACTCATTATCATTTATTAAAATTATTTTCACACTTATTAGTTAAAAACGTTTATTGAACAAGATCATTTTTTAATATAACGGGAAAAAATACATTTAGTTTAATTATTCAGTATAAGTGTTCCACTGCAAAATATTTTCGTAACACTTTCTTTCTATACATGTTTTTAGTTTTCGATTGTTAAATTAATTGAAATCATCAAAATTGACTCCCCCCTTATTTTGCCATAATTGACAGTTTAGCAACCGCAGTGGTTTACAGTTCCTAGTTGTTACCAGAAAGATGTTGCTGCCCATCTCCTGTCTCTCTGTCGCCTCTTACGACACCCACACACGATATGGGCTAGTGGACGTTCTTACACCGCCACTACACGGTTGAATCCCCTCTATGAGGAGGCCTATGTTCAGCAGTGGACAGCTGTAATGGATGGATGAGTCAACCACCAACTTAAATTTATACTAATGCTCCATTATTCGCTTATTACTTATTTAGTACAACGCAATGTTATTTGTATAACAAATATAATATATATATATATATATATATATATATATATATATATATATATATATATATATATATATATATATATATATAATTTAAGGAAATTGTAAAAGTTGAGTGGGCCTGACGGAATCCTTCCGATTGTGCTGAGAACGCGTTCTCCAGAGTTGGCACCGTTTTAACGCGTCTTTTCGGTACTACTCCCTAAGCGTTGTCCCGAAACCATGAGACGGCTTTCGTCCACCTGATCCCTAAAAAAGGCAACCGCTCAGATCTATCTAACTACAGCCCTATCGCCATCACCTCCTTGTTCTCCAAAATATTTGGAGTACATTATGAACTGCCAGCTCATGCGGTACCTTGAGGATCACCAGCCAATTAGTGATTGCCAATATGGTTTTCGTCGTGGTCGATCAGCTGGTGATCTTCTGGTATACCTGACTCATAGATGGGCGGTGGCAGTAGAGTCCAATAGGGAGGAACTGGCCATTAGTTTGGATATTGCGAAGGCCTTTGGCGATTGGGTCTAGCACAAAGTGCTTCTTTCGAAGCACCCTTCCTATGGGCTTCCCGAGATATTGTGCAACTGGATCACCAGTTTTCTTGCAGATCGGAGCATCAAGGTTGTTGTAGACGGTGCATGCTCCGACTACAAGCTTATTAATGCTGGCGTTCCACAAGGCTGCGTGTAATCACCAACGCTGTTTATTCTGCATATCAATGATATGTTGAAAACCGGTAGCAATCATTGCTATGCAGATGAGATCACTGGTGATGCTTTATATACATGCCGTGTCAGTATTTTCGGGAAAACGTCGCCAAGTACCGGGACAAACTTGTGTCTGAAGTCGAGTCTTTGCTGAATACTCGTAAAGTCTCGGATTGGGAGCAATTAAATCTAGTTCAGTTTAATCCTAAGAAGACACAAGTTTGCGCGTTTACCAATAAAAAGAACCCCTTTGTCGTATCTCTTCAATATCAAGGCACTGCTCTTGTTGCCTAAGCCAGTATCGGAATCCTCGGCGTCGACATATGGAGTGACGTGCAGTTTTCTGGTTACTTGGAAGAGAAGGCCAAATAGGCATTTAAAAAGCATGGCATGCTCAGCAGAGCGTGACAGTATTTCGTGCCGGCACACCACCTGAAAATTTACAAGGCGCAGGTTTGGCCTCACATGGAATACTATTCCCATCTCTGGGCTGGGAATCCTCAGTGCCAGATCCTTCCACTTGACCGCAGAGCGGCTTGAGTCGTTGAAGACCGGGTGATTTCCGAACGGCTCGATTCACTGGACTGCGAAGAGATGTTGCATCTCTTTTCATCTTCTATCACATTTACCAAGAGGAATGCTCTGAGGAATTGTTCGGATTCATCTCAGCCGCTAAATTTATTGAACGCACACCCCGGCAAAACTCCCGATACTAGCCACACCATCTGGAAGTTTAGCGGTCCACCACTGTACGTTTCACTAGAAGTTTTCTTCCGCGTACGACCTCTTTGTGGCACAGTTTACCACCAGCGATGTTTCCGTACCGATACGACATAGGTAGCTTCAAGAAAAGAGCTTACTCCTTTCTAAAAGGCCGGTAGCGCACCTGCAATTCCCCTGGTGTTGCAGTTGTTCATGGGCGGCGGTAGCCAGTTAAAATCAGGTAAATCGTATGCTCATTTGCCCCCTCTCCTATAAAAAAATGGTAGGAATCCTTTTTTTCACTAACTAGTAAGATTTCTTTCTGCCACCTTCTGTCTTCTTTCACCCGTCAAGCAGTAGTGAGTGCACTGCTATATTATGTTCTGAAGGATATTGAGTCAGTATAATTACAGAGCATTGTATTCCTTAGAAGTGACATCGCACCGGTATTCTTCTTTGTTGAAAGTTGGTTGCAAGTATCAATAGGCTTTAGTAGCCACTTACTTACCTGCAGTTGGACTAAAAGTTCGTTAATCACTTGAATATTATTTAAAAAAAAAACTTGTTTGCTAACAGAGACCGCACACGTAGCGCCACTAATCGCCTGCGCGCTTGTAATCGCCGCACTATTTGTGCTTCTGTTCTGCTTTGTAGTTCGCTGTCGGCGACAAAAAGGTGAGTTAATTTTCTGTTGTTATGGGTGTCAGGTTTGAACCCTTGCAATACTTTTCAAAAAACCGATAAACACGTTTACTTAAATAACATTATGCAATATTAAAAAGTCCAAGTAACTCGCACGGTAAAATAACGAAAAACGTTATAAAAATTACCATATGAAGAGTCCTTCTCTTTGCGGAACTTAGTGTCATAAACCCTGTCTTGCGTTCCGCGCTGAAATATTACTGATAACTATGCAACCTCATTATCACTTTAGGTCGAGGAATGACAATTACCAGCTCCCTTTGTCTATGTTGCTTTGCACCTCAAACTACTATAGCATGCATATAAAAGTATTATCTTGGAAATGGCTGAGAACGCTTCAAAAACCACTCGCTTATGCGCTATCGTGAGTAGAGAAGAAGCACTTTATTGATTCAACAGCGCATCTCTGCAACGGATCTCTGGCTCGACAACCATACCAGGTGTTGGTAGTCCTATTAAATATGCAATTTTAAAACTACTTTGACGGCCCTCTGTTACGACCTCGTAGAAATGTAACGAACTGGGTATGCTTTCATACGTGAAATAGGATAGAATAATTTCACTTGAGCACTCGTTTTCTGCCTTATGTTAAACTGCACTGCTAAACATAGGCCTCCCCCAAGTAATGCCACAAAGCACGGTCGCGAGCCACCTGCATCCATCGACTTCCTGCATATCTTACCAGGTCGTCACTCCATCTAGTGGGGGGCCCGGTACGGTGCCACTCGAGTACCTTTCTTCCCCATCGGTTATCGGTTCTTCGAGCTATATGGCCGGCCCATTGCCACTTCAGCTTACTAATCCGTTGGGCTATGTCGGTAACTCTGGTTTTACGGCGGATATCCTCATTTCTGTGTCTATCACGCAGAGAAACTCAGAGCACAGCCCTCTCCATAGCTCGCTGAGCGACCTTGAGCGTCCTCATACGGCCAGCAGTGAAGGACCACGTCTCAGATCCGTAAGTCATCACTGGCAACACGCACTGGTTGTACACTTCAGATTTCAGAGATTGAGGTTTACCTGACGAGAATATGTGTCGTAATTTCCCATCCGAGTTGTATCCGTCGATTGACTTCTCGATCGAAGTTGGACTTATCTAGTCGGACTATTTGTCCCAGGTAAACGTACTCGTCAACAACTTCGAGCATAGTGCTCCCAACAACTACCGGCATAGGTGTGACATGGACATTAAACATGATCTGCATGTTCATCTTAAGACCTATCCGTTGGGAGACACCATTGAGGTCATTGAGCATAGTGCTTAGGTTCTCCAGCGAATATGCCATAAGGACTATATCGTCGGCAAATCGAAGGTGAGTGATGTACTCGCCATTGATGTTAATAACATATCCTTTCCAGTCCAGTAGCTTGAATATGTCTTCCAATGCAGCGGTGAAGAGTTTCGGGGATATAACGTCAGTCTTACACCTATCTGCAGTTGGATAGGTTTCGAACTCTGGTTCTGTACTCGGATAGTCATCGTAGCCCTACTGTACAAACACTTCAGCACTTCGATATACCGACAGTCAACTTGGCACCGCTGAAGGGACTGTAGCAACGCCCAAATTTCGACGGAATCAAAGGCTTTCTCATAGTCCACATAACCCAGGCATAGTGGCAGATTGTACTCTTCGGTCTTCTGTACAATCTGCCGCAGGGTATGTATGAGGTCTATGGTAACGCAATGGAATATCAAAATTAATGAAAGCAAGGAGTTGATTTGAGGTATTAGTCGTCTCTCTCGCACGTGTTGGCGGGTTTTGCTCTGAAGTTTTTAAGGTGTGCGCGGGCGTGCAGGCGATATGTTTGCAAGTTCACTTCACATTTAAATGTTTATGTTTGTTTTTGTTGTGTCTGTTGAAAATTTATGCTTTTCAAATATTTTAAGTGAAAATGGAGGATAATAGTGGAGTATATAGTGTGGATCAGTGGGTGAAAGTGCTAATCGGCTATGAAAAGGTTAAATCTTTAAACTTTGTTGAGAAAATACACAAGGTCAAGAGCGACTTTCAGACTTAAAATGTTCACTAACATTTTGCGCGGACGTAATCAAATATTTCCTTAAGAAACAGAGACCATTCAATTTAGAATGTAAATAATTTGTTTTCTTTGTTTGTGTTTGTACTTCGTTCATATATAGCCTTGTATGTAAATATCTTTTTCTTTCGCTCAAGCAAACCCAAACGGCTTTTTTAAAGCCACCGAAGGTATGCAATTGATGATATGTCACACAATCTATCTAGCAGTTATCTGTTAAACACGTTCTCGACAAAACTGAATAAGAAACTGAAGAGTGGAGACTGATCAAGATTGATGTATTTTTATAAAACTGCTAAAAACAACAAAAACATATCTTGGGCGTGCCCTAGTTTGCAGCCCTAGCTTCGCCATTGCAAAACATCCACATTTAAATATAGTAACGTACCTTAAAATGTTGTGTTTATTTTCAGATGGCATCGTGTTAAAGACAGATGAGTTTAATGGGTAAGGATGTATCACTTTTCCAAAATAAAATAAAATTACAGCCTATATTCATGAAAAGGTTATGGAACAATTAGTACACCTCGCCAGCTTAACTCTAGTTGGTGAACGACGTACCAACGATTGCACGAACTAATTCAGCACCTAAAACTGATAATGTAATGCCTGTACATTTTTGAAATTGCAAAATTTGTAAAACAAAACATGTATTATTTCAGACAAGCAAAAGAGGTTTATACGCATAATACCAGAAATGGCAATAGACTTGCTGCTGAAATTATACCCAAGAGTGCGCGGTTTAAAAAAAATTGCTTCTGGATGTGTATGCTCATATTTAATAAAATACCCCGACATATCAAAGACTTGCCCCTTAATAGATTTAAAGGCGCCCTTTACAGGTGGCTAAATGATCATTGTTTTTATAATGTGAATGACTACCTAAATTTGACATGATGTGACACAACAGTAGTTATATATTTTTAATTGCATTTTCAATTTTAATTATTTTTAAATTTGTATGTATTGGTATTATGTATTGATAATTTCTAAATGATGACTATTTTATGATATATTTTAATTAAATTCGCTATTTTAATAAAACACTAAATAATCTTAATAATAAAAAATGTATTTGCATGCTATCCATTGATGGCTGAAAAAGCTGTACTATACTTTGTAATAACCACCTTAATGTAACCTTTTTCAAAGCAAATAAATCTTCAAATAAATCTTCATTTCATTTCATTTCATTTCATTTCATATTTGGTGCCATCTGAGATGATTTGATTTGTACAAGTACTCGAAACCTAATCCCCTCAACTGTTGAGATTGTATTAACTATAATATTATCTTAACAATTATTACTATGTTCCCTCACAAATCACCTTATTCTAAAAATATTTAAAAGAAAGTTTTTATAGTTTATGTTAATAAGGGTGACAAACGAGTGCAAATGTAGTCCACCTGATTTTAGGTGAATGCCATGACATGCCCCATAGACACTAAATCACAACCCGACTAAGATGGAATATCTCAATTACAGTAAAAGGAGTATCCTCCATACCTTCACCAGTTTTATATTTAACTCCTAACGATTATTCGATCTTTAATTATTGTTTTCATAAGCAGCGACGCAAAAGTCACAACAATGGACGCAATATATGTACTACAACAATCAAACTACACTTCGGGTGCCGGAAACCAGCAGGATAAATCTGGAGAAAAAGCTGGTCTAGAAGTTCTCATACTGCAGCCCTCCGATATCATGTGACTCACACAAAGGTGTGCACTATAACGACTTACTGTGCTCTTTTGAACTTTAATTTTTTAACAGACATTTCTAAAGCAACTCAATTACTAAACAAACATCGTAATCAAGTTTCTAAGCAAGATGATCACGAGCATAGTAAAGTAGCGCTATGTACGTCCTATTTCTGAGAGGGTTAGTGTACACCCTATGTACCTACGTATTGTTCGTGCAAGGGTTATTTGTTATTAGTGAGTTAGGGGTTGTTAGGGGCTCTCCTAATTTTTAAAAGGGTTGTGGAGCCAATAATTTATCGCTCTAAGTGCGTTGGTCGACTTAATAATAATAATGTTCTCCAGACTGAATTTCGGCCACGACGGCTTGCCTCAACGTAGGCTAGCCATCGGCGCAAGACAGGATTATAGTGCTCAAGTGTATGCGAAAGCAAAGGTGCACTCTCTATTCCCTCACTCTCATAATCCGATGGGACGGTAAACCGACACGACCGGAGAGAGATCAGGCGCAGGAAATAACGGTTTTACGTGTGCTTTCCGAGGCACGGCCGTGAGACACCGCCAACTTCCTGACTCCGGGCAGCTACTGAGAATTTCTTGACAGAAAACTCAATAATTGATTTTTTGGCCCGATCCGGGATTCGAACCCAGGACCTCATGATCAGCAGTCGCACTACTACAACCACTAGACCAACGAGGCCGACTTAACATATCCACAAATTACAAAATATTGTATTCCTCAGGCATGCAGGTTTTCTCACGATATTTACTATCACCGCCAAGTACCTCAGCAAACAGGTAGCTCACAGTAAAATTTAAGACGAGTCCTTGACGCCTGAGCTATCAAGACCTATTAATGTAACATACCATAATTTAGTTTAACATTGTATTCTTCAACACTACTTTTTGGATGTTTTTTTTTCAGAGTTCCAAATTTTTTTGTTTTTTGATATCAAAAGAAAAAAGGAAACATGGAAGAGAACAAATCAAAGCGAATCATTTACTGTTTCTGGACCTGTTAACAGTTGTGAATATAAGTTAAGAATCTTTCTTACGGCCGCTGTGTTACTAATAAATAGGCATAATAGAAAATATAATAGAAATCTCTTCAGTACACAATATACGACTAGACAATAGATCAGCGCTAAAAATGTCTTCTGAAAAGTATAACGGTATGATAAGTACACGTTGACGGTTCCGTGGCGTAGTGGCTTAGCTTGAGTTGCAGTGTTGGGGGCTGAGGATTCGGATCCCGTACGGAATAAATATTTGTATGGCCTACAAATAAATTATTGGGGTCTGAATATTTGTCCTTGCGCAATTTATGTTTGCAAACTACCTCTGTGATACAGGAGAGAAGCCTAGTTGAGTAACATAAAAAAATACTATGACGTTTTTAATGACTGGTGAAGTCATAATATTTTGAAAATTCGTGTATCTGGTGACGTTAGGCTTCATGCAGTTGGATCATGTTATATCTGATAACCAATAAACATAATCCTCATCTTCTTTGCCTTTCCCTTTTTAATCCGCACTGAGTCAGATGAAGCAGTAAGAGTCGCATAGGCTAACTTCACTTACATCTCATAAAATAGCTACGAGTATCTATACTCACTCCCGCCGGTAAAGATTACAGTTTTTCGAAACAGCAATATATCAGTTTCAAGATATTTCTTAACATTAATACAGTTAGTAACATCATAAAATAAATAAATGGTCAGAATATAGATATTACTTGCTCGCATATTGTTTAACTAAACCTTAGACGATTTGCGCGCAATTTAAGCCCAAAACACCTGAACAATAAAACCACACGGCACGGGGTACTTAATTCGGTATTTCACGAGACATATTTAAATATCTGATCTGTTATTTAGTTGTTTGTCATTGTTTGTAGTACAATAACGTAAGTAATAAAAGTTATTCACGTTTTAATTTTAAGATTTACCTTTGATAAGTATCTGAATAAAAATATAAAATAGACCTTTATTGTTTAATTTATCCTTGTCTCCTTTTATAGCATATATCTGTCACATCATTTGATTCCGTGGTTGTCATAAAGATATTATTTATTTTGCAACCTTCCGCTAAATAAATACAATGATGTGTCTTACCTGGATTGAAGAGCACCTCCCGCCCTCCCTCAATTGCGTGCATTATTATGATGGATCTCCGCAAAGTAACACCTGATTCTATCAATTATCCGTGGTCGTCGTAAATGGCGACTATAGGAACTTCCATAAAGGTGTGAAGGTTACCGATAGATGACGATTTAATCATCTCGTTTTCGGTGTGAGTGCTCCATGGCACAATCGGCACAATCACAGCGCTCGGTTCTCGAAGCACTTATCTCTCCCTGGACATCAACAAGTAAAGTCAGTCTGATGGAGTCCTTCCCATTGTGCTAGAAACGTATTCCTTCTGCAATTATCTTTTCCGATACTCTTACTGCCAAGGCGTACTCCCGAATTTATGGAAGACAGCTTTGATCCACCCGATCCTAAAAAAGGTTAACCGCTCCGACCCATCCAACTCAAACCTATCGCCACCATCTCCTTGTTCTCCAAAATAATGGACTCCATTATGAACTGCCAGCTCATGAGGTACCTTGAGGATCACCAGCTGATTAGTGACCGCCAATACGGTTTCCGTGGGGGTAGATCAGCTGGTGATCTTCTGATCTACCTAACTTATGGATGGGCGGAGGCAGAAGACTCATTGCATCAAGACAGACATTCATTGCATTGCAGACAACAGCAATTGTGATTCTTTATACATCGGCCGTGCCAATATTTCTCGTAAGAACATGGACGAGTACCGGAACAAACTTGTGTCTGAAGACGAGTCTTTGTAACAAAGTCTCGGAGTCAGTTCAATCCTCAAAACACAGAAGTACCGCTAAAAAGGACCCTTTTGTCGTTTCTCCTCAGTTTCAAGGCACTTGCCTTGCTACTTTAGCTAGTGTTGGAACCCACGGCGTTGAGATATGGAATATATGACATAACGTTTCGTGGTCACTTGAAAGGGAAGAGCAAATTGACCTCTAAAATACTTGGCCGGCTCAGCAGAACGCGACAGTATTTTATGTCGGCACATCGCTTGCAACTTACAAAGCGCAAGTTCGGCCACATATGGAATACTGTTCTCATCTCTGGGCCGGGGCGCCTCAGTGCCAGTTCTTTCCACTAGACCGCATCCAGCGCAGAGCAGTTCGAATCGTCGACGACCAAGTTCTTTCTGATCGGCTCGATTCACTGCCGCTGCACAGGGGTGTTGCATCAGTTTGCATTTTCTATCGTATCTACATCATCATTCATCATAGAAAGCGGAAGAACGGGGAGCTAATTCTGCTAAGCTCTGCTCTGATAAATTATTCGGGTTAATTCCAGACATTGCGTCAAAATTCACGATACCATTCACACCATCCGGATGCTTGGTGGACCACCAATCACCAATCACTGTGCCTTTTATTAAGAGTTTCCTTTCTCGTACAGCTTTTCTTTGGAATAGTTTAATAACGGAGATTTTTCAGGACCGATTCGACTTAGGGACCTGCAAAAAAAGGGCTTACTTCTTTCTACAAGGTCGTCAACGCCTGCAATTCCCCTGGTATTTATGGGCGGCGATAGTCACCTAACACCTAACATTATGTGATCCGCATGCTCGTTTGTCCCATCTTCTATAAAAAAAGAAAAAAGTGACTCTTTCCATTGGAAAAGAGCTTTCCATTTTAGTCGTCAGTGGTGACAACGTATCGGCATTTTAATTCATAATCGAGAATAAATATAGATGTCTACGAGACTTACCATCCTGTGGATAGACTATGAGCTTATCCATAAATCAGCCCTAAGACAGGCCTTTTCTTAGTACTATCTACCTTCTACTATCTACTCTTTTCCTTCTACTATCTACTTTCATAGTCAATATTCTTCTTGAGAAACAGAAATTGTTGTCTAACATAGACTATAGAAGAGGTCGAAGTTTATCGTAGTAGTTTTGTATATTTTATGGGATTTAGAGGATTTTTAAAAAAAATGCCTATAACTTTTCACAGTAAAAATAAAACTTTTGATAAAAAGTAAAAACTAAAAGGTGTTGAGAAATAGGGTACGAAAAATAAAAGTTCTGACTTAAGAATTATTTTTTTTAAGTCTGATTTACCTTTTTTTATTAATAAAAACCCTTTAATAATGTTTAATTTATTTAACTACTAAAATGTCGTCCAAATAGTGACATTTAAATTATTTTTTCTTTTCAATAGGTTAACCAAGAATTGCTAACACTAAGATCATAATATTAGTACAGTTATTTAAAATATTAACAGAAGTGCAACAATTACTTAAAGACAATCTTCGCATGCATATAAATATAATACATAAACTAAATAAATTGACCCTCAACTAACGTTAAAAAACTTCCGAAAAAACTTAAGTATATAGTGTCGTGGTATAAGTATAACCACAATTACATATCGTCCCGTGGGTGCCATAGGAGGCGTCGTCGTCCAAAAAGCTGAAGGTACTCCGGGTAAACTTTGACATCGGGACGTCAGTCACCTCAGTCCCCCGTGACCATGGGTGCTGGAAAGCACCCGAAACGTCGGGTATTATAATTAATATAAATAAAACGCGATAAAATCCGTAAAAGTAGTTTTAATCAATATATAGTGTTCGTGTAAATATAAGAAATCATTAAATAGAACATAGAGTCGAATCGAAAAGCTCCTTTTTTCAGCGGGCTAAAAATATTACTTTTGTTTGCCCATATGAACCACTTAATGCTTCACGTGCATATGCATTAAACAAAAATCTGTCAAAGTTCCAATTTCGCTCAAATACTCGCTTTGAATCTAATAAAGGATATATGTAAGGGAAGCCGTTCAAATTCGTGCGTCCATTAGTTTGCACTGTCACGAACACAAATAGAGCAATCACAGAGTACCTTTGTAGAAGCAATATAGTAGACCATCAACATTCGATAAACGAATCATACATAGTGTAGGTATATTAT